ATGCCAATCATATGAATGAACATCTTGCCTTAGTCAAGCCACCCCAGCTGACAGTGCATGGAGCAGAGTCAATTCTTCCCTTCCAAGTCCTACCAAAACTGCCAAATAAATTATTGGTTTTGCTTTAGGCTACTGAATTTGGGGATGCTTTGTTATGCAGCACTGGATAACTGGAATGGGGCCGTAGCTCTGCCTGCCTTGAGAGAGAGAGAGAGAGAGAGAGAGAGAGAGAGAGAGAGAGAGTGTGTGTGTGTGTGTGTGTGTTTGTTCCTAATATTCCATGCCTTTGTGTGTGCCTGCAGGCAATGTATTTTGTCAGATGTCTGTGTACATGAATAGGTATGTGGGTAAAGGTGCTTTTGGAGATAGAGTCATGGTTCTTGGAGTTTTGCTTTGGCCTCAGTGGGATGCTGTTTGGTGAGAACACTTTGAAATCTTGTCTGTCTTCTGGGTCTCTTCTTTTGAGTGTTTTTCCTTTGAACCAGAAAGGCCTATTTAAAGAAGAGCTAATGCAGCTTGAATTTATTGACCTTTCTCTGGCCCAAGCCCATTGGAGTTGCCAAGGCCTTCCAGCAGGTGGGAGACTGCCATCCAGAGTCCTCCCAGCCTATTCACAAGGGCTGAAAAAAGTTTTTTTCTTTTTCCTYTTCTGCCTTTAAGGTCTTCAGAAGTGAACCACAGACAGAACAAACACAGTCACTGGAGTCCTTGAAGTCTCTTGGGGGTAGAGAAACCTAGAATTCTTGATTGCCAACAATGAAGCTGCTGATACAGACTCAGATATGTTCAAGTCACAGGGTAGAGGTCATCTAGTCAGTCTCTGTCTTGTCTTGGATGCTGCAGTCCACTCCATGTGAGTACAGCCCAGGCAGTGGAGGACCCTGGTTCAAAAGATGAGCACTTCCTGTTGATCTCTTCTGGAATGCCTGTTAGCTTCCTGTCTCTTCCATGTTTGCTGCCTGACTTAGCTTTTCTGGGAATGCTCCTGCCCTCTAAAGTACTCTTGGCCAATAGAGCTTTCTTCAGTGATGGAAATGCTTTATAATCTTTGCTGTCCTATATGGTACCAACAGTCACATGTGGCTAATACCTACCATTTTGGATGACACAGTTCAGTTTTGTTTTTGGCACTGCGAATTGAACCCAGGGGCAATTTACCACTGAGCTACATCCCCAGTCCTTTTTATTTTTAATTTAATACAGGTTTTGTTGAGTACTGAGACTGGCCTTGAGTTTGTGATCCTTCTGCCTCAGCCTCCTGAGTAGCTGAGACTACAGGCATGTGCCGTCACCCCAGGCTGGACAGCACAGTTCCATTGACTTCAGAAAGAAGAGTTTTTGTTTATCTGTGAAAATGGGGACAAAATCTGCCCCACTGTCTAACACTGTGTCTGATACAAACAAATGATGAATGTGAAAGGGCTTTACTCAAAAAAGGACCTGAAAATACAGTAGTGTGAACTGAGTGGGCTTATTCTTAGAGCTCTTTGTTAACATTTCTGTAAAATGGCATTTGCTCTGTTTACATTTCTTTGTTCCTCACTTGACCCTGAGCTCTCTCAGGATAAGAACACAGCAGGACTATTTCACAGCTTTCTCTCTCCACAGCCAAGGACTGGCATTTAGCTTGATGTTCATGTTCAAGTGAATGAAATGTCTGGAGTCCAGAAGTTATTCCTGACAGCAGGATTTGACGTGTATGGGGAAAATTGGGTGGACAGAGAGGAAGGGACCAAGAAGAGGAGATAGGGCAATGCAGTGTTGAGACAGAGGTAGGGCTTCTGGTTCCCATCCAGAGACAGTAGGGAGTCAATTTCTGAGGCCAGAATGTTTTCACATAACAGGATATCAGATTTCTGGGAGATTAATTCAGAAAGGCCCTTCAGAGAAATGGTCTGCTTAACACATTCTGCTTGTTGAGGAAGGCCAAGTTGATCATATAAATTTCTGCCTGGCTAGGACTTGAGGTTGGTGCTGTGGTTTCCTTTGGTTTGACTAATGGTGGTTGGTTTGAAGGTTATGCAGTCTCTAACCTTCCAAGCTCTGCTCTTCTGGAGAGTGGAAGAGGGAAGCTAGAAGCTGTACATTAGAGGTATGAGGGAAAGACAGCTCTTTGGTTGCTATTTATTTAAAAATCAAAAATCAAAATTATTTTTGTTCAATTCCAAGAACAATACAGGAAAAGAGATTCCCACCATTTGCTTTGCTCCCTGGCTTTCAAACTTCCTACTTGGAGGAAATTTGGGATTTCAAACTTCCTACTTGTTGGGACTACTTCCCAACAAGTAGTCCTCTTTGCTTGGAGCCATGTAAATAGAAGCTGTCTGCTTAGGCCCAAAGTTGCACATTGGCTTCAGCAGCTGAGGAGTCTTGAGCTTAGAGCCAGTACCACTGAGAACTTGGTTCTCATCCAGGGCTTTTCATAGTTCTATGAAGCTGCTGTAACAAAATATCTTGGACTGGGTAACTTATAAACAACAGAAATTCACTGCTTATAGTTTCAGAAGTTGTGAATTCCAAGATCAAGGTGCCAACAGAGTCAGTGTCTGGTGAGTGCTTGCTCTCTGCTTCAAAGATGGTGCCTTCTTGCTGTGGCTTCACATGGCACTTCTACTGTAAGAACACTAATCCTATTCTCCAAAAGCTCATTTCTGAATATTATTATATTGGGCATTAGGWTCTGATGTTCAAATTCTGGGGGAATACCAATATTCAGACAATAGCCTGATGTTTTTCAAGGCTTGGAGACTGGGGAGGTCACTGAATATGCCCCCTCACATWCCTGAGGTAATTAGATCTGTTGCAAAGATGCATCCAGGTCCCTGTGGATACCGGCAGGTCAGTGTTGAGCTGGACAGGAGTCTAGGCCCAAGAATATGTGCTAAGATTTGACCATATTCTAGTTTTAAGGATGTTACTCTTGTAGCACTTTATTAGTATCTTTTTAAAATAACTTGTGCAAGACTCAGTTGTAATTTATATGTTCATTCTGTAATTTATTACTCATGCAATAGATATTTGTTCAACATTTATTACCTGTCCTCATGATACAGATAGTCCCTGACTTACAATGGTTCAATTTATGATTTTTTGACTTTATGATGATGCAAAAGTGATACACATTCAGTAGAATGTGTACTTTGAATTTTGATCTTTTCCCAAGCTAGCAATATTAGTAAGACACTCCCTCAAGATGCTGACTAGTGGCAGCTAACCACAATTCTGTAAGCTGTGCAATCAGGAGGTTAAACAGCTTCTACACTGTACTGTGTTGCTAAGCTATAATATTTGATAGGTTTGGTGTATTAAATGAATTTTTTTCTTTTAATTTTTTAAAATTTGTTGATGGATCTTTATTTTATTCATTTATTTATATGTGGTGCTGAGACTTAAATCCAGTGACTCACACATGTGAGATAAGCGCTCTACCACTGAGCCACAACTCCAGCCCAAATGAGCTTTTTTTTAAATATTTTTTTTAAGTTGTAGTTGGACACAGTATATGTAATTTATTTATTTTTCTGTGGTGCTGAGGATTGAACCCAGAGCCTCGCACGAGCTAGGCGAGTGCTCTATCGCTGAGCCCCAGCCCCAGGTCCTAAATGAGTTTCTGACTTACAATATTTTCATCTTGCTATGGATTTATTAGGATGTAATTCCATTCCAAGTCAGGACTATATGAGGCAGTGACATAAGCTACAATTATTCTTGGGCCCCACTTCTCTCAATGCTCTCTTGGGTGCACTATAGGAAAGTTGGGCTGTTCTATGACCTTTCCTCACAGAACCCTGGGAAGTGTTTAATCTAGACCTTTCTTGCTATTTTTTTTCCAAAATTTTTAGCTGTAGATGGACACAATACTTTTATTTTATTTTTATGAAGTGCTGAGGCTCGAACCCAATTCCTCCCGCATGATAGGCAAGTGCCCTACCACTGAGCTACAACGATAGCCCCTAGACCTTTCTTATAAACTGGTACTACCCCTCAACTATTTCCCAGGACTTGTTCTCCATCACCACTAAGGTTTGCTCAGTGTTTGTGAAGTCAATTTCCCACCAGCTTAAAGTAAACATCAAGAAGGTAAGTTGACAGCTGGAAGCTCACACAATATATGGAGAAGGGAAAGGAACTCCAGAGATATTTGATTATTGGCTCTTGGTGAATACCTACCATTTGGATTATTTGGCAGATATTTAGATGATCCTTTTCTCTTCTCACAAATAACTAGGAATCATTCACTAATCACTGTGTCTGGGCTGTGAAGGTAGCAGAGTACTCCATTTCGCTGGTCAGGCTTAGCACGTCTAGGCAAGAGGGAGGTCTACCAGGAGGTATAGTGGAAATAGAATATGATTTAAGAGGCACCTAAATCTAGCTTGAATTCCCGGTTCTACCATCTCCTGACTGTATAACTTTATAAATTCTTGCAGTCTCTCCATTTATAAAAAGGGAATGGCAGTTTCCATCTTAGGAAATTATGAGAAGTAAATGTCTGTGGAACACCTGGCACATACAAGACAATTATACAGCAGGATTAGAACTGCAGGTGACCTCTTATTTTTAAAATAACATAGTTTTCAAAAAAAAAAAAATAACATAGTTTTCAAAAATTTACACAATACGCAATTATATGAAGCGGGTGATTTACAGGTGGTCTTATTCTGTATGAATTTCCAAAGGACTATTTATTGCTTGACATTAGATTTTGGTTACTGAGTCTTAACAGCTTGATTTATTTTTATCTTCCACCCCCTCCGGTTTCTTTCTGAGGATCCTCCTTCTAGGAGGAAATCAGGCTGTTAAGAAATCAAAAAATTTCGAACTTCTAGCTTGGAAGCAAAACCAGGCCTGTGGGTCTCTCTTTAAGACTTCTCTCATCCTGGCGGAGGGACATTAAAAAAAAGAAGTCCCGGAACTCCGCGTAGGAAGGCGATGGGGGCGGGCCTTAGCAAAAGACGGAGGAGGCGGGGCTCGCAATTCTGCGGAAGCGGGGCGAGGCGGCTGTCGGCGGTCCTGGTGGCTACAATTGGGTGAAGCTGGGAGCGACGTAATAGCCGCGCGCTCACGGGTTCAGACGGTCGCTGTCGCATTTGCGCACGGAGAGCTGGTTGCCGCTGCGGCCGCCTGGAATTGTGGGGTTTGTGTCTGCCCCTCGGCTGCCGTGCTGGAAGCCGAAGGTAGGGGCGGTGAGGGCTGCCCGGCCCTGGAGCTGGGCGGGAGGGCTAAGGACGCTGTCCAGGTCTCCTCCCGCCAGTGGCCTCGGCTCCTTCCCTATAGTGTTTGGGGGCCCTAACACATTCCCCGCTAGCGTTTCCAAAACGAAATGTCCAAATGGGTCCTAGAAATTCTAGCTGCGTTCTCTGCCTTTACCATCGAAAACGTCTCCAGTGACCCCCTACAACACCAGGAGATGAGGCAGTGGGAGTCGCAGTCTGGCTTTTGGCTCTGCATCTTAGTTTATTTGATCCCTATCCTCTTTGTCCCTGTCTCAGTTTTACTCATCTGTCCCAAAGAAAGGGTGGATTAGGTGTTGATCTCCAAGGCCCCTCCAAGTATTGACATTTTGGTTTTTGACAGAGTCCTCTGTGTGTCTTCACCCTGTGAAATTGAGCCTTGTCAGCTTAGTATTTCTACTCTCCTATTGCGTGATTTCCTTGGTCCTGGCAGTTGGAAGATCTGTCTTTAACGTAGAGGTTACAGACTTTGGTGTGTTTGAAATCACCTAGGGAATTTGTGCATAATCCCTGTATTTTACCTTAAGGCACTTTGGAAAAGATGGTTCATGGGCATCTGTAGTCCCCATCTCAGGTGGTTCTCATTCAGGTGGTCCTGGAATCCTTGCTTTGAGAAACTCTGCTTCAAAAGGCAGGAGGATGAGCTGCTGGAATGAGCGTCAGGATGGGAAAGGCCAGGCATCAGGAAAGAAGGCCAAGAAGCCAGGAGGGGCTTCCTTTGCACTGGAAGAGCTGGAAGACTGATATCTTTAAAAAAAAAAAAAAAAAAAAATATATATATATATATATACACACACACACACATACACACACATACATATATATACACACACATATATGACCCATCTCATGTAAGGTCACACACATATACACATATATATACACACACATATATATGACTCATGTAAGGTCAGTTTTCTAATGTTTTAAAATGCCTGGCTTTGATTGAAGTCCAGCTGGCTTTCCCATCTCAATAAAACAAAGCAGAACTGCAGCTGCTTTGAGTAATGGAAGGAGGTTAGATTAACAGAGACTAGGTAGGCAGGAGGAAAGTGAATCCTCCATATTTGCTGAGAAGAAACTGCTGTGTTTACAGATAGTAACAGTGTTTGTTGTGACAGTGTGAAAGATGTTTTGTGTGTCTTTTTTAGCTTTCCCTGAACCCCCAGTTTTTTTCTTTTCCCATGGAAGCATATCTGCACTTGGGGACTGGATAAGTTTAATGGAAGCCAGGGTGTACTGATATTAAGATTGATATTTGGGGGCTGGGGTTATAGCTCAGTGGTAGAGTGCTTGCCTGGCATGTATGAGGCACTGGGTTTGATTCTCAGCATCACATATAAATAAATGTCCATCAACAACTGAAAAATAAAAAAAAATTGATATTTGTGTAACATGGGTCAGAACTTGGTCTGTGGTTTCACTTGAGAACATGGCCTTTGGGTTTTTTTTTTTTTTTTTTGGTAGGGGGTAGAGGGTGGAATCCAGAGCAATTCTGCCACAGAACCACGATCCCATATACTTTTTTTTTGAAGATGGGCTTAGTAAAGTTGTGAAGGTTGACTTTGAAATTGTGATCTTTTTGCTTCAGGATCCCAAGTAGATGAGATTACAGGCTACTCATCTTTGGACCTTTTTTTAAAAAAAGGATTTTTTTAAAAGTTGTTGATGGACATTTTTTTTATTTATTTACTTATATGTGGTGCTGAGAATTGAACATGCTAGGCGAGCACTCTACCACTGAGCCACAACCCCAAACCCTTGCTTTGGATTTTTAAAGATAGTTTTGCCACACCAGATTTATCTTAACTTTTTTTTCAAATATTTAGTGAGTTTAATTTGCTAATTAATACATATACCGATGAAATTGGCAATAAAAAAGATTGTCCCCATTTTACAGATGATGGGAATGGGGAATGTGTTAGACATATGGCAAACCATGAATGAAAAATTGCTTGGTACTTTGATATCTGTTTTCTACCTCTTTCCTGCTGTTTTCTGAAGGCCAATTGTTAACTTGCTTCTCTTTTGGTGTCAACTTTGAGTACTGGTGTGTTTCATCAGCAGGAAAAAAGACTGAGTAAAGCTGAAAAGTAACAATGTATTTTATGATAACAAATACACCAGAACTTAATCCTCCAATGTTGTTCTCCTTTAGAGTGATGTGGGTTGTGAGGGTTAGGGGAGGCATCACCTAAGAGAGAGGGCCATTTTCCGAAGTAGTAGCTCACTTCTGGAATTGTTTTCAGAGATATTTTTTGCTTTAAATTTCCAAATGACATGGTTAAGCAATCTTGTCACCTGACTTGTCTTCAGATGAATTAACCTTTTTTTTTTTTTTTTTTTTTTAAGAAGTGGACATAACAGATTTCTGGAGTGTGGTGAACATGGGTTTTAGTTCTGAGTCTACCGCTTAGTAGCCATAAGACCTTGAGCAAGTTACTTCACCCCTTAGCAGCAGTTTTCTACTGCATAAAATGGGAATACTTAAAAAGACAGTTAAATGGGGCATTACATATGAAAACTCTTGGGACACAGGAATGCAATAAATGTTTGTTTCCTTCTCAAAGAATAAGGAGTTGCTATTAATTCAGAAGAACATGACAGTCTCTAAAGGGAAGTTGTTATACCTTTTCTCAAATAGGTGGATTCTCTTTTGCATGTTTATAAATTAATACTCTGACCTGCTTATCCTGCCTCTTGCCTTTTTCTTCATTTTCTGTCTTTTTCTAAGTGAAGCTGTGCTGCAGAGGCTGTCTGCCAGTCTCTTGTGGAGTAAGCCTTTTTTTTTGGAGAGCTAATCCGGAACATTCTTACAATGCTAGCTCTTTGGTCATGTATTCCTGAGAATTTTTCTCTGGGGCCTCTACTGGTGCCCAGATCATGCTCTGTAGCAGAGGCATCTCTAACTCCTGGATTTGGTGTCAATTTGGAGACCTGTCCTTGTGGAGCTAATCTTTTCTAAGCAAGGATGAATACTTTATCCTTCTCTGAGTCGGCATTAAGCTGCAAGCCTTAGGGGCTGGGGATGTGGTCAAGCGGTAGCGCGCTTGCCTGGCGTGCGTGCGGCCCGGGTTTGGATCCTCAGCACCACATGCAAACAAAGATGTTGGGTCTGCCGAAAACTGAAAAATAAATATGAAAAAATTCTGTCTCTCTCAAAAAAAATTTAAAAAATAAAAAATAAATAAAGGTCCATCAACAACTAAAAAATATTTAAAAAAAAGCTGTAAGCCTTAGTCTTCTACAGCAGAGCATCATATTTTAATTATATGTGGTTTAAAGAGAGGATGTCCTACCCTTTTCTTCATTTACTTTTACCAGGAGTTTCAGTACATGTAGGGAAAGAGGCAAATAGTCTCATTCAGGTGAGACTTTGGGTAACYCCTGATTTCTAGCACCAAAAATAACTGAGTTTGGGACAAAAACCTTATCAAAGATTCTGTCTGTTTAGATGCATGTGGAGACCTCATGGAGTATTCCTGGCTTGTGAGGAGTTTATAACTGGGTTCTCATTTATGCAGTTTTCTATCCTGGTTACAGGGAGAATCCAGCAGCAACAGAACATCGTTCAGCCCAGTCTTGTAGTTCCTTCGGTTCCACCAGGAAGCTCATAGACAAGGATGTGATCCTTGTGACTGGCTGTGTCTGTCCTTATTCTCCTAATATTGCCCTTGGACTTGGTGATAAAAAGGAAGTGGCGTAGACAATGGACAAGTAACATTCTATTCCAAAACCTTGGGGTTCAGGGGGAAAGAGCTCTGTGCATATATCTGGGCAATTGGAAAATACCAGTCTTATCTCAGGAATGCTGCTGAAGTGCATTGAGTCCTTCATGACATCTACCAGGTTTCTTGGTGATCTCATTTGTGAAATGGGAATGCCTTCATTGATATTTTCCATGGGAAAGGTGAACAATTCCAGGATAGAGGGATTGCCCAGATGTGAGACTTTCTGTGCCTGTATCAGGGAAGTCCAGGGAAAACTGAGACAAATTGGTCATCCTATCCATGATCATTATACAAATTAATGAACTTGATCACTATGCACTATTGGATCAATCCTTTTGAGCTCATCTAAGCAAGTGTTTCCTTTTTCAATTTTTTAGTTGTAAATGGACATAATGCCTTTATTTATTTATTTGTATGTGGTGCTGAGGATTGAACCCAGTGCTTCACACATCCTAGGGCAAACGCTGTATCACTAATAACCCCAGCCCCTAATCAAGTGTTTCTTAAGCTTTTGCTCATTATCATTTTTTCAGACACCCCCCCCCCCCCCCCCCCCCCCCCCCCCCCCCCCCCGCCGCAATTGCCTATCCCTCCATGAAATTTTACTACCAAAGATATGCTGTGTATCTGTTTGTTTATTGTGGCCCTTTTGATGGCCACACACTATTATAATATCTAATATTTTTTTCTACCAAGAATCAATTTTTACTATCTTCATTATGATATCCTATATCATTTCTCTAACATAATCATCAAGATCTTTTTTTCACCTAGAAATAACTCTCATTGTAAGCTTTTTCAGTGCTTCAAATAGCAAACTAGTGAAAGCAGAGGAATGTTATCTATACTTTTTACCTACCTTATATGACAGTTGGTATTATTCCTCATTTTATAGATGAAGAAACAGATTTAGTGAGATTAAGTGATTTGTCAATGTTAAAAAGCTTGCTGCAGGGCTGGGGTTGTGGCTCAATAGTACGTGCGAGGCCCTGGGTTCGATCGTCACATAAAAATAAATAAATAAAATAAAGATATTGTACTCAACTACAACAAAAACAACAACAAAAGCTTGTTRGCAGTCAGAATTTAAACCTAGCTATGGCTCCAAAGATTTTTCCATTGCATGGTGTACCACTCCATGAGTGCTCCTATATTTCCACCCTGTGAAATTGCATCATTAGCAGGATATTTGACCACTTAGCTCAGTTTTCT